TTTTTTTCATTTTTTACTGTTATCTTTGGATGGAATATTATTTGGAGGTATTTGGAAGTATTTGGAGCACAAATTCAAATGATAAACTGTACTTTTTAGATAAGTTACTTGTTACGTTGCCAATAAAGTCTGCAGACTTCAAACTAAGTTTCAATACAGTGCTTTTGCATTTTGTAAAAATCATTTGAATAGCTCTACATTTGTAAAAAAAGGAAATAAATAAATACTATTGATAAATAGAGTTATGATGAACGATTTGACTCCTTATTGCCCTTAAACTTGAATTTAGATGATTGCTAGTGTACAAACTGAAAAATTTACCCATAATAGTACTAGTCTCAGATGCAACACAATCTAAACAGTTACCAAGACAATTGGTATTGGAATTCATGAAGGGCAGAGGTTCATTTCTTCTGGATTTGAACTACAGGGATAAAGGAACCGGTAAAATTAATGAGTAGCTTAAATTCTATCTTTACCATGTTAAAAATAGATTAGTTCAGTGAATCAAGTGATGTAAAAAAGTTCTGGAAAATGCTTTGTTGTTTCAATGGATCCGAAAAACTATTGAAATAAATGAAATTACCTGTTTTGAGGGACCGCAACAAGTAGCCTGATTGCAAGGTCTGTCAGTTTTGGGACAATCGAGAACACAATCTTCAGTAGGAGTTTCTTTGATTTCGCTGTTCGATTGATACTGAAAGATAAAAAAATTGCATTGTCAATACCATAATACCCGCAAATCTAACGGTAGATACTTGACCAAGTGTGAAAAAATGTAAATCTTACATCTATAAATTCAGGCTGTATAGTAGTGGAATGAATGCCCTCGTTGTGGAAGAATTCTTTGACCTGTTCGGCAATCTTCATGTACTCGGACAGATTGCGACAACGTATGTGTGCCGAGGCGATGATTCTATCACCCGCCAACTGCCACACGTGGAACTCGTGGACGGCCAGTACACCATCAACGTTTTCCAGTAACCTCTGTTGAATCGCGTCGACCTAACAACAGAAATTAAAAAAAAATGAAATCACCCGCTGAAATGTAGCATCTATAGTATTGCAACAACGTGATTACCTGTATATGCGTTGGAACGGTTTGCAAAAGAATCAAGGCTGACTCTTGAAGAAGAGGCCACACAGATTTCAATATAAGCATCACCAACAGCAAAGATAGAGCAGGATCGATGTAAAATCTGTAGCAAAAACAATAAAAAAAAAAAAAAAAAAAACATTGTACAATGAGTAATTTGCAAAAATTCGGTAGAATGATGAAAGTTAAAATTATCATTTACTTGTACTTCCACTGGGTGAGCCAAACAATGAGCGCAGATATAATGACGATAACAGAGCCCAAGGCGTCGGACAGCACGTGAAGAAAGACCCCGCGCATGTTCATCTGGCTGGGGTCATGGATGTGCGAGTGTCCGTGGCCACCAACGTGCTTGACCGGCGAAGGTGGCCTGTAAGTCTCGTCGTTTTCATTGTCATCTGCTCCCACAAGAGTGCTCAGCCGATTGTGACTGCGCGAAATGCTGTGCGAGTGGCTGTGACCATGACCGTGCTCTGCAACAAAAAAAAAACAAAAAAAAAAGAAGTAATCATCATCATCAATTGGCTATGCCTGCAATTACGCTAAACTTGTTATTATACGTTACAATGAAATTTCATCAAACAAGTGGTTTCGTAGTTACCGTGTACGTAGAAACGTTAGGATGATTTTTTATTCATCATGAAACCACCGAGACGAACAATTCCAGGCAAACGGCAATAATAAGGAGTTCTCCTATTGCATGCAATCATTTACAAAGCGCACAAACAAAAGGCCATTGTTTCGTGCCAACGTTATCATATTTACGCGAGTTTTTATCGTTGCGGTTTGCAGCCCGATTTTCGTATTCGTCGTGAGCTTACCATGTGCCGTTGTTTGCCGTTGGTATAGTTGAATGAAAGGAAGAAATAATTAAAATCTCACCGTGGAAAAGGCATAATCCTACTAAATTAACTAAAAGGCCCAAGGCGCCGACGGCGACGAGTAGCGCGGCCTCGTGGATTTCCTCGACTTCGATGAACCTCTTGCAGGCCTCGACTGTTATACTAAAGCACAGGGCGACTAGGAAAACTGCATTCACCAGGGCTCCCAACACCTCGGCTCTGGCCCAACCGAAGGTGTTTTTTGACCATTTTTTCGGGGACATCTGGAAATGAACGAGCAAACATAATCATACTGTTGTGAGGAAGAAAAAAAAAATTTAATTCCAGCGTTGATTTAACGATTGAATGAAATGTTGTGTGTCGAGTATGCAAAAAAGTCGTCGCCTCTTACGTAAGTATATTTTTTAAAAAAGAACAGAATCCTTGATATTTTTCCGATACTTACCTCGATGTAATCATCTTAGATTTTCATTGTTCCCGCGGAACCGTAAATTAATAATAATAATATTAATAATTATAAGCGTGTTACTATATTTTAGCAAAAACCATTACCGGGTTTTTTTAGGGGTGACAATATTTTCACATAACTTACCTACTGTACTAGGGGTTAAACTACCGAAAATATAACCCACCAACTTTTCAAAATAAAAACAAAGACATCTCGTACGCAAAAAATTTATCACGAGATACCAACTAATAATATGGTAAATTTTAATCTTCTTATCTACAAAACTGCCTTTATTTGAGTGTTGCGAGTATAAACTGTACATAACATTTCAAGTCCACAATATACGTGGCATGCTATCAGTTTACGTGTGTATAACTGTTTATGTGTTAAACTAACTAAGTGTTCACTGAAAATGCAACTTGCATGATGATTTTATTCCTAGTTTTTTCTTTTTTTTTAACTGCAAGAAGTTTAGGTGGCCATTTTCACAATCAAGAGAAATCATCCCAAAATTTCTTTTACTTTTTCTCTCTTTTTCTTTCGAATGTGGCGTGGGATAAATTGCAAACGGTATTCTTCAACGATTCTACGTTATTTTCTCGTCAGTAAAAGTGTTTCGATTTTTTAGTCAAACAATAAATGAATGGATATTGAGATGTCTATAGAATTAAAATCTGAATTTTGATATCAGTGGTTGTTTATTTTGTCCTCGCAAGAAAACAAAATTTTACGTTTATTTTACGTACAACAAAATATTTTATTAAAACGATGTACGGAAATTCAATGTACGTATATTTGCGAAAGAGAACAGAGATCTGTATTTGTAAACATGTCCACTTCGATTCGCTTAAATTCTCAACCATCGAAACAATGAATTAAAAGATTGTGTGCTTTTGAACCAAGTGCAGTTATTTTTCCACAGTGTTTTATTCATTATCGTTAATATTGGTATTATCATAATTACTACTAATATTATTATTATAATTAATATGGTCAATCTACAATATGTACATTATTAGCTACGTATTATTACAATTAAATACACAATTTTTTTATCGACAAATTATTTCACAAAATTTTCATTTTTTTATACAAAATTTGGTATGAATGTAAAAAGTTTTAATTATATATTGTTTGCTATACTTAAAGTCTTGAGTTTTTAGCATTATTATGACGAAAGGCTTATACATTGTTCCTAAAAAGCTGACGATTCCCCATAACTTTCGATTCGACTTTACGTATTAATATCAAGCTTTTTTTCGTCATTTACAGGATTCGAGTTACGTTTCCTTTATAATGAAGGCCCCACCGTTAATTCTTGAAAATCAGATGGATAAATACTAAAATTTTTGTAAAAATAACATATTTAAATTCGATAACTCAAGGCTTTGTAAATACACGTTTGTTTGAACGTCATACTGTGATTATACGTGGTTTCTACAAATCTGAAAATCTAAAATTCTCTGACTCTTTTCGGATTTCCGGGAATATATAATATGAAGATTTTCGAGATGTTTCATTCCAATGAAATAATTTGTAAAGTGAATGATAATTGAAGAAACATGAATAGGCCCAAATTTTTACCGGATGTAAAAGTTAATTCTCAAAGAACTTTCTCAGCTTTAATGATGTAAAAAAAATTCCTGAGAATTTCTAGATTTTCCAGCTTTCCCAGATCCGTAGATACCTTCAACGACATTGTCCAAATGCAGAATGTAGTCATAGAGAGTAATGATGCTCTCATTTGGAAATTGGATTTTAATCCAATAATTATTTTTGTCTTTCGTGTGATTATACCGAGAGGCTTTGTGTCCATACTCTTCGCACTCACATGTCAGTGCCAAATAGTGACCCATAAGATGAAAAAAAAAAAAAAAAAAAGAATAGACCAAAGCTATGAAAGTATTAAGGTCATAACTCAACGCTAAAAGGTAGTAGCAGCTACTTTTATAATTTACCGTAGCTAAAGGTCTACAAAATAAACGATGCAGCTTACAATGAACCGTGGGAAACTTGGACCTAAATAAATAAAAAATAAAAACACAGGTATTGTACATAGAATAATTACAAAGGATATTTAAAACGTGATTTAACCGATAAAACAACTGCAGTAAAAAAAAAAAAAGGAAACCAAAAATACTTGACACTTATTTACACTGAATACAATCGTGTCACGAATATTATTTAATTGCAATTGGAGAATTGCATCAAGTCAAAATACTGTTATACGGGTTTTTAAGGAAGTTTACCTCCTAGGCACTGTAACAACAAATGACAGTGTTTTGTGTAGACTTTTACGTACAAAAAGTATTTTGGGCCCGAAATACTTTGAAATCTGATTATTAAAGGTGGTTTCGAAAACAAAAATTTTGCAAGTCACGACAGAGACAGATTTTTAAGTCTTTCGTAAGAGCATGTGTTTGTGGAACACTAAATTTTTCAATTTTTGGTTCTGAATGGCTCAGAAGCTTTGACGATTATCTTCTATACGATTAAATCTAGTATGTTTTATTTTAAAAGTGAGCTCCCTCAAGTGTGTACTGAACGAAATAACTATCTTTACAAAATAAACGTACTTAAAATAAGATTTTTGTAAGATAAGATACAAGGTTGTTTGTACAAAACTCAGTTTTATTTTCACAAGCTACGGTGATTTTACTTGTAAATCTGATTGTGGAAAATTTTTACAAATAACATAATAATATAATAGCAAATAGAATAGCAATATATTTCTGCGAAAAAGAGTTCTTTGAAGCAAATCTCTTTCAAAACACTTCATGACATTTTTCCAGTCACATTGGAAAATCATAATTAGCTAAAACAGTCACACCAATGTATTAATACTTATTCTCTTTTTTAAAAAGACTTACTTTTATTCACAAAATAACTTGGTTTATATTTCATTATAAAACAATATGAACTACTATAATCAAGGGTTGAAATTTCCTTTGAAAATTTTACGCAAAAAAAAAAAAAAAAAATTATTGTACATTAAGTAATTTCCGTTGTAACGAGAAACGCTGGTGTAAAGTCCATACCGTCTTTGTAATCGTATAAACGGTAGAACTCGAAAAAATGTTTCTGTATGGGTGGTGAAAAAAAAGAGGTATAATAATTTAAGTGAAATTAAAAAAAGTCTTAAAAAAGCCTAAAAAACAGCCTTTTCTTTTTATCCTGAGACGATGTTCATTTTTGTTCATTCAACCAAGTAGGCAACGATAACAAATCATTGTTGCACTTGAAAATCGAGACAACAATAATATCCAGTGGAATACACTGGCAGTAAAATAAACCTGGAAATAACGGCAGTAATAGTTGTCTAGGCCCTTTTCTTTCACAGGCGTAAACACACACATACACACACACACACACGAAGTTGGTTGCTGTCTATTAGACCGAAGGCGACATGAGGAGCGACTGGTGAGGTATCTGGACAGCCGTTGGTATCACAGGAGGCGAGAGCAGGTGGCCCCGCTCCATTTCGTTGAGTTCCTGTTGCTCGTTACTCTTGCCAACTATGGAATTCGACGAGCGGGCTAGGCTGCTACGCTGTCGACACAAGTATGGCGTCTCGCCCGGAGAGGGTGTGTCCCGACCCTGGAGATAATTTTTGGTAAAAAAATCGCCCAGTTAGATAATCATCAAACAGTTTCTCATGATTAAATAAGAGTAAGCCTTAATCACTTTTTCATAAGTGACATTTCACAATTTATCCAAACGTAAAGAAGTTTTTTCTGAAACACACATGTTACCATTTTGATACGATTGCTTAGTGTGACAATGACAAATGTTTGGCTGATTGATCAATTATTTTAATGGTGAAAATGACACAGTACTTAAAATAAGCATCAACACTTGTAAAAGTAAAACGTGAAAGTTCGCAAACACGTGATTGAAAAGTTCGTTATTATGAAAGTGATGACAGTTAAACAATATTTAACACCACTTTATTGCTAATTTTGGAAATTTTTACTTAACTGGATCTAGATACCAAACTTAAGGGATTATAAGTCCAATAGTCCTAAAAAATAAATATTTTCTAAGATTTAATCACTACATTTTGACTCCAATCAATTTCATTTATAAAAAAGCTCTGCAGTTGACTCTCATAATGATTTTGCATGCACTGCAGCGTGATACGTATTAACGGTGGAACTTGTTAATTAGCAAAATTTCAGTCCACACAATCGAGCTCTTGTTCTGCTTCAGCTTTCCCAGAAAATAATGAACTATTTTACGGGAAATTCTCTTGTAGATCGATGGCTCAACTGACTCAAGGTACCGAACAAAAGTGAAAACTCACGACACCTATAGAAGTGAACGCAAAGTCTAAAAAAAAGTAGTTAATTGCTCCTACAGCAATCAGGAAACGTATTCAAAAGCTCGCTTACAAGTTCATTCCCACTTGGTCTCACACTCTAGTTTCAAGCTCCTTCTGAGAGAACGTGTTTACGAATACGCACATCTGGCACTCCGGAAGCTTAGTCAAACGAAATCTGAATCAGGAGCCGTACGCGTTCTTCTCCTTACTTGTTCACCATGTGTGGAGCTTGCAAGCTGCTGCACGTTCACTGGCTTGGCTGTACGATGTCATGAAAGAGGTTCTGATTTAGCTCGCGTTCTTACTGCCACTAGAGAAGGTAGTTCAGGTTACGAGAAAATGCAAAAGGATTCTGCCCGAAGTTACGCATGTTCATACTGGTATGTGTGCTTTTGATATAAATAGAGAATGTCGCCTTACGCTTCTAGAAGGCACCTCAAGCGCTTGCGTGGATTTTTTTTCATTAAACAACTTCACTCGTGAAAGAGTAAAAT